CCCCTCAGCCCGCCCGCCCGCCGCCATTTTGCGAGGAGCTGCCGCGGGACTGTCCGCCGGCGGGGCCGGCGCCGCTCGGGCTGCCCGGGCTGCCCAGGGCTCACGGGGCCGCCCCGGCGGGCGGGAAGAGCCGGGGCGGGCGGCGGCGGCGCCATGGAGGATGAAATGCCCAAGACCCTGTGAGTGGGGAGGGGGCGAGACCGCCTATTGTTCCCGGCGCCGCGGGGAGGGGCGGCCCGGGGTCGCCTCACGGAGGGGCACCTCAGGCACCGGCGGCGCCGCTGGGGCTCCGCCGCAGGCCCTCAGCTGCCCGCAGTGCTGGGGGAGCGACCCCCGCCTGGGGCTAAGGGGTACCCGCCCCCCCTCCGGTGTTCCTGCCCCTTCCCAGTTCCCAGTGCTGGTCATCACCGTCCTGCCCCGCGATCCGGGTGTTATCCCGGGCCTCCAGCTCACTTCTGGAGGGAAAGGGGGTCTGGAAGGTGTGTCCCCTCTTCCCAGTCCATCCTAGCACGTGGCAGGGGATGGAACTGGATGATCAAAGTCCCTTCCACCCTAGACCATTCCATGATGTCGATCCTATCATGCTGTGTGCTCCATGTGCATTTTGTGAGCATCTGGCTGGATTTTACCATCTCTGGAGCATGTGGCACCACCAGCTCCCAGGGAATGTGGGTACTGCCCTGGGAAAGCAGCTGGAGCCCCAGTGCCATGATCAGCAGCTCCAAGGAAATGCCCATGAGATGCCCACGAATCCATTGTTTGCCTCAGTGTTTAAAGCACGCCTTGAGCCTGTTACTTCCCAAAGAACTAATTACGAAGCTGCGTCGGGAGGTTTACATTGGGTATTAGGAAAAGGTAGTGGTGCTGTGGACACCTGACACTTTTCCAGGCTTTAGAGAGCTCCTGTGCTCAGTCAGCACTGTTTTTTCCAGAGCTTCTGTGCACACCTGAGCTATGTGTTTCCTTCCTTTTCCCAGGCAGGTGTTACTTGGAGTGGTTTCCCTCGTACAGATCAGGGAAATCAGCATCCAGTCTTCCTGTTCCACCTCTACCAGCTTCATTCTCCAGTGCAGGAGCAAAGTCAGGAGGGAGAGGGACTCATTCCAAGGCGAGAGAACACCATGCCCTTGGATTGCTGCACCTCCCCAGTGGTTGAGAAACAACTAGGCCGAGTGACCACAGGAAAACAAGCCCTTGAGGCACCTCACCCCAGCTCTCCTGGGCAGTGGCCACTCTGTCTACTCCTCCAATCCCGTTGTCTTCCCACTTTTTGGGAGCTATTCTTGGCATCAGCAAACATAGTCAGACCTGTTGGCGTGTTTTGTGTTTATTTAGGAAGATGTTTTCCCCCCATCCCAATGGTTGTGTGGAGCCTGGTGGTCTCAGTGTGTTCCCGAGGGAATGAGGTCCCTGTCCTGAAGCACGTGTGGCTCGTGGCACAGACATGGAACTACTGAGGGTGGAAAAGACCTCTAGGATCATTGAGGCTGACCTTAAACGCAGCCACGTTCCGAGCACAACTGAGGGCTGAGCAACACCCGGGGATGGGGTTTCTCTGATACCTCCCAGCGACTTCCTCAAATCACACAGGGGTGTCACAGGCCACGTTAGAACGAGCAGTTGAAGGCAGAAAGTGCAGCTAAAGGTGATCTTTACAGCTGTGGGCCAAAGTGGGTATTAAATCCATGTCCACATGAGGATTTCTGTAGGATTTCTGCTCCAGAAACCCCACTTGGGTGTGGATTTCAGAGCTCTCTCCTCAGTTGTGTGGCATCATGAGGGACCTCCAAAGCCCTCTGTACCCCTGTTCTTTTCCTTCCTTTAGCACATTTCAGTCATTTTTCTGGAATAAATTCCAGATGTTATTGGAAGTGATTCCTTGTTTTTGCCATTTCCACATAACCCGTGTCTGGGGTGGGGTGTAGATCCTTTAGGAGCTGTGATTCCTTTTAAGTAAATGATTTCCTGGAGAGGTAGCTTGTTCTCCCTTCCTTGAAAACCACCCTTTACCACCGGATTACAGATCTGCAGAGTGGTTATGAGATGACTTTGAAGTGATAAAGTCCTCTTGTTTGTGTTCTCCATGGAAGTCCGTGGATGCTCGTGGAATACGTGTCCTAATTCAGTTTGTGTGTCTGAAAGAAGTCCTAGCAGTGGTTGGCTTTTACTTCTCAAGAAGCCACGTGCAATGAATAAAGCTGGAAAATACAATCCTTCATCTGCAGAGAGTCACCAACCAACACATTAATTGGATTCTCTTCCAATTAGCAGGATAGAGAGGGCTGGGGAAAGTACAGGAAGAGACAGGACTGAGATCTCCTCCTGTGAGTGCAGAGGTCAGGGTGTGGGAACCCGGTTTGGGGAACTCTCAGTCACAAATTAATTAATTTGGACCCAGAAGGTCACGTGAGGCTAAGTTTATGCATTATGCAAAGGATGATAATATTAAAAAAAGGAGGATAAAAGAGACCTTTCTAGTTCTGGTCTGGTTGACAAGGTGATGATCAGTGAAAGATTGGACTTGATGATCTTGGAGGTATTTCTCAAGTAAATGATTCTGTGATTCTGACTGCTGGTTGAACTTATGTGAGGGATAGTGTCCTGGTTAATTTCCTCAATGAAGTGCACCAGTCCCTCCTTTTTTGAAGGTTTTCAGGCTTAAGAAAACTTTTCAGAAGTGCAGGAATCACTCAGAGCGAGACGATGCCTGAGAAGGTCTGTCTGGGGATTTTAAAATACACTCCCAACTCCTCCCTAAAATAGTTGTCCAAATTATTAACACAGAGCTCCTGTGTTTATCGTTTTTGACAGAAAAACAGGCTCCGTATCTCCTTCCCACATTATCTGCTTAACAAAATGTTGGAGCTCATCCCTCTAGCAGGTTCCCAGCCTCGTGTCAACACCAGGAGCACGAGCAGCCCCTGTTGTTGCTGCCTGGTTGTTTTCTTACAACACCTTTACACCTCCTGGCAGCAGGTGAGGGGGGTTGCAGGTGCACCCAGATGGTTTGGTGGTGGATTTGGCCAGGATTCCCGTGGCAGAGGTTATCCACAGAACATTCCTTTGTGGGAAGCTGCTGCCACACCTCGGGGGCTGAGGTTTCTCACTGTGCTTTTTATAAAAATCCCGTGACTTGGGCTTGACAACAACAACAACAACACCCTCCTGTGGTTCACGGGGGGTCTGAGAAAGCCAAAATCCCAGATGGGAGCAAGGGTTGGGGTTGTGTTTGTGCACTCGGGCACGTTGGCCCATGGTCTCAGGCAGATCTGATGCTTCCAAAACCTGAGGCCTCTGAAAGGAACTGACCAAGTGTTGTGTAACAACCTTGACAAACACCAGCCCGAGCTGTTGGGGCAGCTGGAAGATGGTACCTGGGGAATGATGATGTACAGATACCAGAATTGCGATTTCTTTACATGGAAATCGGTTTGGTGGGTTGAAATCATACAGTTATAGGGTCATGAAATGAGTTGGAAGGGACCTTAAAGATAATCCGATTAATCTCACCCCCCATGTCGTGGGCAGGAACACCTTCCACTAGACCAGACTACCCTGTTGGACTGACCCTTCCTCCCCAGACATCCCATACAAACCCAAATAAGTTCAAATAAATATGAATAAATAGTAGAATCATGGAATGGTTTGGGTTGGAAGGGACCTTAAAGCCATCCCTGCCTGGACACCTTCCACTCTCCCAGGTTACTCCAAGCCCTGTCCAGCCTGGCCTTGGACACTTCCAGGGATGAGGCAGCCACAGCTTCTCTGGGGATTCCATCCCAGCCCCTCACCGCCATCCAAATATCCTATCTAACCATACCCTGTGTCAGTGGGAAGCCATCCCCCTTTTCCTGTCCCTCCAGGCCCTTGCCCTGAGCCCCTCTGCAGCTCTCAGTGTGACCAACGGCCATGTCTGTCCTGTGTTTGATCCTCAGGTATGTGGGGAACCTGTCCAGGGACGTGACTGAGGCTCTGATCCTCCAGCTGTTCAGCCAGATCGGACCATGCAAAAACTGCAAGATGATCATGGATGTAAGAGGCTGCACTGATTGCCATGTTCCTCATGGCTCACAGTTGTGTGTCCTGGAATTGCCCTTGAAAAAAGGCACAACCAGTTAAAGGGGTGTAATAAGCCTGGAGATGCTGTTGTGTGCTTTTGGCATCATTCCTGCCTCGTGCCTGGTGTGAATTTAAGGATGGGTGGACATGGCGAGGGGGAGTGAACAGGTCAAGCCGTGGAAGGGTTGTAAATGAGACTTTAAAAATTCTTTGCTGTAATTTTAACTTTCTAAAGCAGAGCTTTGTCAATCCCTGAATGTAATCCCTGTGGAATAAAAAAGCCTGTCCACATTGGAATGTTGAGGGGTGAAGAATCGGTAGCTGAGCAGAGCAACCAGAGTGCGGCTTGAGGAGGTTTGTGCCCCTGACCCTGGGTTTGCCTGTTGTCTCAGACAGCTGGAAACGATCCCTACTGCTTTGTGGAGTTCTACGAGCACCGGCACGCGGCCGCCGCGCTGGCGGCCATGAACGGCAGGAAGATAATGGGTAAGGTAAGCTGCTGTGCCTGTGGGTGAGTGAGTGGGGCAACGCGCTGTCCCAGGGGTGGGGAGGACAGATCCGGGGCAGAATTCTAGAGACACAGTGGAGCTCTCAGACACTTCATTGGGACAGAGATTTTAACAGAACGTGACTTGCAAGAGAAGTTCAGACTGTTGAAGGAAGAAGGCAGAGGAAGGTTGGGGGGTGTGGAACTGGGAGGGAAGAATACCCACAGAATCCCACAGAGTGGTTGGGGTTGGAAGGGACCTCTGGAGATGATCTCACCCCGCCCCCCTGCCAAGGCAGGTTTACCCAGAGCAGGTTGCACAGGGTGTTGTCTAGGCAGGGGTTGAATGTCTCCGGAGAAGGAGATTCCATAGCCTGTTCCAGGGCTCTGTTACCCTCAAAGGAAAGCTTTCCATCATATTTTCCTCATATTTGGGTGGAAATTCCCATGTTTCAGTTCATGTCCATTGCCTCTTATCCTGTCACTGGGCAGCACTGAAGAGAGTCTGTACCCATCCTCTTGACGCTTCCCCCTAAGACATTTGGAAGTCATTCCCCATTGTCCCGTCCCTCCAGGCTCTTGTCCAAAGTCCCTCTCCAGCTCTTGAGCTCAGTTGTGAATTCCAGGATCTAATGATCTTTCATTTGCAGGAGGTCAAAGTGAACTGGGCCACCACCCCCAGCAGCCAGAAGAAGGACACCAGCAGTAAGTACCACTTATGCCTTGAGTTGTACAAGTTCTTAAACATAAATACATCAAACGGTGATTTGTGGGAATGTTTTTTATTGTAGTCCTAATTAATGTCTTTGTCTTAATAAACTGAAGAACTGATGTGATCTTTGCCATCAGGTAGCTCCGTTGCAAGCACAGCATTCACAAGGTAACTTGTGTCTTCTTAAACATAAGTGGAAATATCTCCAGGGGGTTCACCAACCACCTGAAGCTGTGTTTGGGGGTTTTTAGTTTGTTCTCCATTTATTTTTTATGGGGAAGCTTCCCTTGGAATTCCTGTAGGCTGGTGAGGGTAAAGCATGGCAGCATCTGAGTGGACTGGAGAGTTTGATATCTGCTATAGCACAAATTGGTGGTCTGCTCTGTTCAGAGCTGTTCAGCCATTAAGTGCTTCTTTCTCTTTTCCCCCGAAAGACCATTTCCACGTCTTTGTGGGAGACCTCAGTCCAGAGATCACAACTGAAGACATCAAAGCAGCCTTTGCCCCCTTTGGAAGAATATCGTAAGTCCTTTTTTAGGGCACATAATCTCCAAGTTCTCTCTCCCAAGTGGAGGCAGCTTTGTGTGTGAGTAAGTAACACTGCAGGGCAGGGACACGCACTCCTCTGGTCACAGGGCAGCCTCTCACCCGAATCCTTTATCCCAGTTTGTTCTGCTTTCCTGGAACAGTTGTATCCAACTGGCTTTGGCTTTATCCTCCTTGCCTCATTTGGCAAAGCAACACTGGAAAATCCAGACTCCTAAACCCGGGATGTGTGTTTCCCTGGCTGCGTCAGCCCAGTTTGCACTCTGGATTTTTGGGGTGCTAGCCACCCATAGCCAATGTTTTTTATGGAGTTAATCCCCATTTCCCACAAAATGAACCTTTTTTGAGCACGAGGCTCGGTGGGGCACTGGGGTAGCGTCAGCCCTTGACCCAGGGCCTCACAGATGGGTGAGGGAGCTGAGCTGGTCCCAGCCCTCCCTGCCAGTCTGTCCTACTCAGGGTGTAGCAGAGAGAGGAGCAGTTCCTTCATTCCATCCTCCAAATGTAAACCATTGATTTTCCTTGTAGTGTTGTCTGTACTGGACATTGGAGTTTCTTGATGGTGATGTAAGAACATAGAGTGCTTTGGAGTGTTGGGTAGTGAAGCATTTAATTGAAGTAAGTTTGGTTTTTTGTTGGTTTTTTTTTTGTTGTTGTTGGTTTTTTTTACCCCTCAAGAGTCTAGTTTACTCCTCTTTTAATGCCAGCTTGATTTCCTTTTATTGGAAGGTTTAAAATTTATCTATGTGTGATCTTGCTTCAGACATCCCCAATGCCTGACTGCAGCTAATGGTCACCAGGGAGTGCAGAGGGAGGGCACCAAGGAGGCAGTGCGTGCTCTCATCCTCTGGCCAGATGTGCTGGAAGGAAGGGATAGGCTGGAATGATGGGAGAAGGAGGCAGTAGCAGGCAGCAAGAGAAAGTTTCCCCCTACCTGGGTATCAGAGGTGACAGCTCAGTAGACACACATTCCATAAATAACCCCCCAAGCTCCCTCCTGCCCCTGAATCTGAGACCAGACCTGTGGTCCCATCTTTCCTGGAAGATTTTCTTCCCTGAAAGAGCTATCCCTGTGTGATGGCGGTGATGGGAAGGGAAGTGGTGCTTGTACTGCTCACACACAGAACACTCGTGGTTTGCCCTGGCTCAAACTGACCATCCAAGCTGAAACTAATTTTTTTCCCAAAAAAAGCAGATTTCTCCCCTTAATGACTTTTTGGAGCTCTTTTTCCAAACCCAAAATGACCCAGATTTTCTCCATTTAACCTGGAAAAACAAGTGATTGAGTGAAGTGATTTGACTTTACCTGTTCTTCATCAGTGACCAGCCTGTGGAATTGTGCTGCTAATGGAATATTTCCTTAATGATTTCTTTTTATTTTAATCTTTATTGATGCCAAACTGAGCTTTTTTTTCATTAATGACACCAAGGTTGAAGTACTGCATGATTAGCTCAGAAAGAAATTGGGTAATTCTTTGCATCTATCTTTTTTTAAACAAACACCTTTTTGTTGTGGTTCCTTTTTCACTTGGTCTGTGCATGTTTTCACTTGTTTTCAAGTCTTTATTCCCAAGTTTTCAGTTGAGGGTAAGTAGAGATGAGTTTTTCCCCCACTCCCTCTCTAGACTCAACTTCCCAGAGTGTCTTTTCTCTGGCAATTTGTAACGTTTGATCCAAATTCTCACCTAAGAAATGAAAAAAAGGGGAAGGGGGGGTTCTGACAGAGAAGAAAGAACAAATATTTCTGCTGTAGCTTTGAGAAGGGGATTTTCATCAGGCACCACTGACACTGTCATGCTGTGGGTGCCATAATTAGACTTAATTAGGCTTACAAACTCTGACCCTTAACAAACTTTCTCTCCATTGTGGCTTCTCTTTTAAGTCTCAGTGCTGTGCCCACATTAACACTGTTTTTTCTCTGCCCCCTCTGACTTCTCCAGCCCTAAATTGCATGACTTCCTGAGTGGTTTTGCTGCTGTTTCTGTTTCTTTTCCTGCCTGTCCGTGGTGGGAGGGAGGAGAGGGTGGCCTGGGGGCAAGGACACCTCACCCTGGGCTGGCTTGGCCCCGAACTGCTGCTGTATCCCACCAGTGGGTTCAGCTCTAGTAGCTAGGTTCTCTTCCTAACTCAATCCCAAATAATAGGGCTCTGGTTATTTTGCAGAGTGTCCCTGAAGAATGGACAGAATTCCATGGCTAACCACAAGCTACAGTTCACAGTGGACAAACGTTGTCGTTTTCTTATTTATTTTTATCAATTTTATTCATTTTTCCTGTCTTTTTTATATATATTTCGTAGTTCCAATCACTGTTGTACCAATGCTGTGTAATGTGTAGTTTATAAAGATATGAATATTGCAGTGTTTTCTTCACTAATTTCTGAAATATCAATCTCTCAAAATTTACAGCTGCCCACAGTCCAAACAGGGGGTAACGACCCAAGAATTAAAGAATTCAGTTAACAGGCGATGTATGCCTTTTAATTCCTATCTTCTTTTATTATTTTTTTTTCCTATTTAATATTTGGAATAAGTAAGTAGAATGTGTTGGCAAATAAATAAGAGTTTAAAAATTGCATGGTTCAAGAGAGCCATTCATTTCATGTCAGCCTTAAGCCATCTGGAATAGCTGCTTTGACCATGCTTTGTGCCTTAACAGTCTGTGAGAGTGTTTTGAAGCAGGAGCCAGCTTCAAATGCCTGTAGAGTGCAGGCATTTGTTAGAGAAGCCATTGATTTGCATGTTTACACAATGAAGTTTTAATTTTACTGCTACCTGGCACAGCCTTAGTAAAGTTCTGTGTAGACAAGGAGCCTTTTGCTTTGAGTGTCTTGCTGGTGCAGTGAAGAGCTGAGGGTTAGTGGAGCTGAGAGATGAAAATGACTCAGGGACTCGAGCGGGGGCTGCGCTGGAAGGGGCTGAACTGGCTCCTGTTTGTGCTTTGTAGGGATGCACGGGTGGTCAAGGACATGGCAACAGGGAAGTCCAAGGGATATGGCTTCGTGTCCTTCTTCAATAAATGGGTAAGATACCTTCCTTACCTTCTTCAGTAAATGGGTAAAAGATCCTTTAGTTTCGTTCTTCAATAAATGGGAAACCTCCCTTTGTTTCCTTCCTCAGGAAATGGATAAGATGTTACTTTCCTTCTTCAGTAGACAGGAAAGATCATTTCCTTTGTCAATAAAAGGGAAAGATCCCTTCTTCAATAAATGGCTGAGCTGTGCCACAGTCTTGAGCTTGCCTGGATGATTGTCACTGGAGTGTTCTCAGTCCCAGTCTCTCTCCAGTTTTGGTTTCCCTGCCTATCATGGGGAGAGGCTTCTCTCTGTATTTGTAAACCCATATAAATCACAGAATCCCTCAATGGTTTGGGTTAGAAGGGACCTTAAAACCCATCCAGTTCCACCCCCTGCTGTGGGCAGAGACACCTTCCTCTGGATCAGGTTGCTCCAAGCCCTGTCCAGCCTGACCTTGGGCACTGCCAGGGATTTGTCAGTCAGGAGCATGGTGATGTCATTCCTTTGGCTTTCTCACAAGGGCAGGAGTTGTTGACAGTGGGTTTTGTTGTCTCCTCTCCCCGACAGGATGCAGAGAATGCAATCCAGCAGATGGGGGGCCAGTGGCTCGGGGGACGGCAAATCCGCACCAACTGGGCCACAAGGAAACCTCCAGCTCCAAAGAGCACCTATGAGTGTAGGTACTCAGCTGGGCACGCTGCCAGCCTCCATAGTCAGGGAATCATGGAATGGGTTGAGGTGAAGGGACCCATCCCATTCCACCCCCTGCCATGGGCAGGGACACCTTCCACTATCCCAGGTTGCTCCAAGCCCCGTCCAGCCTGGCCTTGGACATTGCCAGGGATACAGGGGCAGACACAGCTGCTCTGGGAATTCCATTCCCAGCCCCTCACCACCCTCATAGCCAGGAATTCCTTCCCAGTATCTCATCTAACCCTTTCCTTTGTCAGTGGGAAGCCATTTCCCCTTGTCCTGTCCCTCCATCCCTGGTCCCAAGTCCCTCTCCAGCTCTCTGGGAGCTCCTTCAGGTACTGGAAGGGGCTCTTAAGTCTCCCCACAGAGACTGTCAGTGAGGTGTTTGCAGGTTGTGCTCAACACCTCGTGCCAGTCAGGATTATAATTCCCCCACCATTCCTGTTGGTTCCACTGAACATCCCTGTCCAATCTCTCCCAGCAAACACCAAACAACTGTCCTATGACGACGTGGTCACCCAGTCCAGCCCCAGCAACTGCACTGTGTACTGCGGGGGGGTCACCTCAGGCCTCACAGGTACGTGGGTCCCCTTTATGCCCCCTGTTCTGTGTCCCTGCGGGTTCCTCACACTGCTCCCTGTCCTTCCTGCTCCAGAGCAGCTGATGCGCCAGACCTTCTCCCCCTTTGGGCAGATCCTGGAGATCCGAGTGTTCCCGGACAAAGGATACTCCTTCGTGCGGTAGGTGGGCCCGGGGCAGGACGGATGGTGGGTCTGCACAGGTGGGAGTTTGCCACGCTTCAGAGCCCACCCTGCAGCCGCTCCCTCTCCTCTGAGAAGGGGGTTATGGCCTGTAGCAAGCAGGAAAACCCCCAGAAAACAGCTGGAGCTGTACAGAACCTTGATCTTTTGTGTCATCTCAGAGAAGTTACTGAAGCACTTTGAGTCTTCCCAAAACCACCATCCCTTTATTGATGAAGCTCCATATAACAAAAAACATCATAAATTGACTGCTCTCCTTACTGGATTTTCCAGTGTATTTAGGGAGAATCACAGCATGGAGACAGGAAAAGCAACCCCAAACCTTTGTCACCTGTGGCCTCATGTCCTGCCACCCGCTGGGGTGGGACAGGGACAGTTCCAGCTGGTTCTGAGACCCCAAACCCATCCTGGGCTAATGAGGACCCTGGGGGTTATCCCAGCTGTTACTCCGTGAGTGAGTGGCTTGCGTTGTCCCACCTTGATCCTGGCAGGTTCAATTCCCACGAGAGTGCAGCGCATGCCATCGTGTCCGTCAACGGCACCACCATCGAGGGCCACGTCGTGAAGTGCTACTGGGGCAAGGAGACCCCTGACATGGTCAGCCCCGTGCAGCAGGTCAGGGCTGCTCCTCTGGGAAGGGCCAGTTCCTCAGTGTCTGCTGGGAATTCTTAAGGGGCTGGAAAATGTAAAGGAGGCTGGGGGGGGACCTTCTTGCTCTCTACAACTTCCTGACAGGAGGGGAGAGCCAGAGGCGAGTCAGGCTCTGCTCCCCGGGAACAGGCTTTCCACAGCCAGAGGGCAGGGTTAGATGGGATATGGGGAAGGAATTCCTGGTTGTGAGGGTGGTGAGGGGCTGGGATGGAATTCCCAGAGCATCTGTGGCTGCCCCTGTATCCTTGGCAGTGTCCGTGGGCAGGTTGGAGCAACCTGGCCTGGTGGAAGGTGTCATTCTCTGATTCCTACCCTGGCTTTTCCCACAGAACCAGCTGAGTTACCCCCCTCCCTACGGGCAGTGGGGGCAGTGGTACGGTGGGGCCCAGCTCGGGCAATACGTGCCCAACGGGTGGCAGGTGCCCACCTACGGCGTGTATGGCCAGGCCTGGAACCAGCAGGGATTCAGGTGAGTTCGGGGGGCCCTTTAAATCCCCTTTTCATCCCCTTGGGAAGTGGCTTTGTGACCCTACAATGCCCTCAAAGCTGTTCCACTCTGGGACGTGGTACTTGGGACAGGTGGAGAACAACTCTCCCAGCCCCCTCAATGCCCAAATTCCTCATCAAACCCCCTTTCCCTCATCCTCCCCACATTCCTAAGGGATTCTTTTCTCCCCCCACAGCCAGACACAGTCAGCAGCAGCCTGGATGGGCCCCAGCTATGGAGTGCAACCCCCCCAGGGCCAGAACGGTGCCGTGGTGCCCCCCCAGCCCGGTTTCCGCGTGGGCTTCGAGACCCCCTGAGCGCAGGGACCCCCCAGCACCCCCCACCCGGGTATTTATTACCAGAGCCACAATCCAAGGGGTTGGAATCATGGAAAAATCGCCCCCATCCTTTCAATTTTAACAAAATCCCCCTTTCCCCCCCCAAACCCAGATGCTGGATCGCCGCCTTCTGCCTTGGTTGATTTTTCCTCCTTTTGATGTGTTTCTTAAATTCAATGTTTTTTAGAAACACAAATGCAGGGACTTCGCTGCCTTAGCTGAGAATTGGGGCAGGAATTGCACAAATCATCCTTGTTTTTGTATTTTTGGGGGGTGTTTTCCTCAGAGCCGATGGGAAAATAAACCATAAACAGCTGTAAAACCCCCCAGAATAAGCCAAAAGTGTGGGAATCCTGGAGCTGCCAAATCTTCAGCCTCACACCCTGTTTTTAAGCAGCCTCTTGGAAAAACCTGGCTTTTCTTCTACCAGGAGGGGATTTTTCTGAGGATAAATTACTAGTTTACATCATTTTTTGTGGATCTCAGTGTGTTTTTCAGGGTCGGTTTTGCCTTACGATGGGGGGGGGGAAAAGGGGTGTGACAACACCCAGCTCCCCAAGTGAGCCAAGATTCCCACCCTGGGACAGCAAAATTCCTGTTGCTAAAACGTGACAAATCCCTCCAGGGTTGTTACTTTGATTTTTTTTTTTTTTACTGATTTCTACATTTTCCTGTAAGATATTTGAGCAAATTGAAGAATTTTGCACAACTTTTGGCCACTTTTGTACTTTTCCTTATTTAAAGGTAGGACACGGAGTCTTTTTGACATGATTTTATGCCTCAAATCTTCCTTTTTTTCCCTTATTTTTTTGTGGATATCAAATATCTCTTGGAATATAAAGTTTTTAATGAATTGTGTAAAATTCCCTCGCTATCCCAGGTGTGTTTTACAAGGGAGTGAAGGTGAGAAGAGCTCTCAAACCTGATCTATCAGAGGCCAAAACCACCCTTTTTTTAATCCTACCTCTTGCCCAGCCTTTAAAAAAAATCACAAAAAAACCCACAAAAATGGGGGAAAAAAAAGGAAAAAAATTAAAAAAAAAAAAAAAAAAAAAAAAAAAAAAAAAAAAAAAAAAAAAAAAAAAAAAGAAAAATGAAAAAAAAAGTGAAACTTGTGTGCTGTTTTATGTCGGTCACGGGGAGGGGAGTGGAGCGGGTGCTCGTGGGATTTGGGGGGGAAAGGGGAGAAATGGTGAATTCTTGCCGCGGGGGTGCTGCTGGGAGTTGTAGTCCAGGCGACATTGTGGTCTCAGCTCCTCTTTGGACTACATTTCCCAGCAGCCCCTGCGACGCACCACATGGTGCCGACGGGCCAGTAAGTGCGCGCGAGTGGCGGAAGCGGGACATCACCCTCACGGCGCTCCCGGCGGCGGTAACGGGGCTGCAGGTACCGGGGCGGGGGAGAGACCCCCCTGGGGCTGGGGGGAGAGACCCCCGGGGCTGGAGCTGAGGGGACCCGAGGCAGAGCAGGGACGGGGGTCACGAGGAGCCCATCTCCTCCCCCCCCCCCCGCAGTGTCACACTGGGACAGGGAGCTATGGGAGGGGGAAAATGGGTTGAGGGGCTGAAGTCGCTATTCTGTTTCTCAGAACTGGCCAAACTGGTGCAAAACTCAACATGGGGAGGCAAGAGGGAATCGTCCCTTTCCTGTCCCCATTCGTGGTCCCATTCCTGCCCCTATTCATTGCCCCATTTTTGCCCTAGATTCATGTTTTCTGGGGTGGCATGGGGACTGTCAGGGTGGCTCAAGGACTGTTGGGATGGCACAGGGACTGTTGAAGTGTCCTAGTGACTGTTGGGACACCACTGGCACCACCAGTGACCAGCCAACTAATCTGTTCCCCCACTTTCCCCCCTCTCTGTGCCCTCCCAGTTCCCTGATCATGGACCCCCCACCATCGAGGCCCAAAGCCCCCGCCTTCCTGTCAGACCTGGGCAAGGCCACCCTGAGGGGCATCCGCAAGTGTCCCCGCTGTGGCACCTACAATGGCACGCGGGGGCTGAGCTGCAAGAACCAGCGGTGTGGGACGGTGTTCCGGCCTGGCACCCGCCGTCCACCCGGCCCCAGCGCTGCCGCTGACCCCGGCGCCGTGCGCATCGTCACCGGCTCCCCTGCGCAGCTCTACTCGGTGCGGCACCGCGGGCACCACACCCGCTGCTTCGTGGAGCTGGGTGTCTCCGAGACCGCCATCCAGACTCCCGAGGGCACTCTCATCACACAGCTGAGCTCGGGGCGTTGCCACGCACCTGCCTGTGGCACGGCGGTGGCGGAGGACAAGCAGTGCCAACACCTCAAGCTGGCACTGGGCTGCCAGGCCGAGGCCACACCGCTGCCCCTCAAGAGCTCAGTGCTGGGCTCCCTGCAGGCATCCCCCGAGGCCAAGCAGAGCCTGTGGGAGCTGGCAACGGAGCCCACGGGGCCGCTGGTGCAGAGGGTCACCAGGAGCGTGCTGGTGGTCAAGTGCCAGGCCAGCCAGAGGCACGGCCTGGGCTACCTGCACGCCTGCTTCACTCAGCGCCACTTCTCCTGTGCCTGCCGGGCCTCCCGTGCTGGGCACAGTAAGGGTGAGGAGGAGGAGGAGGAGGAGGAAGAGGTCCCACCAACACGCTGCATCCACTTCCTCGCCTGCATCTGCGCCTTTGCCAGCGACGAGAGCCTGGCCCAGGAGTTCTCCGAGTTCCTCGCTTCTGACGCCGGGGGTGGGAAGCAGGGGCACGCAGGGGCTTTTGGGGGTGTTCAGGGGTTGGTGACACCCCAGCCAGGGGCCCTGGCACCTCCCAGCAGCCCTTACACCTGCTCCCGATCAGCAGTTACCCTGGGGGTTGGGTCTGTCCCTCTGCAAGGGGAGTGATTCCCACTGCAATGCAGCCAGCTCCTGGCTCCCAGAGTGGGAAGCTCCCTGTGCTCCCATGAGAGCTAGGTGGGGGCAGATCCCACTGGGATTCACTGCTGTGGGTGCTCAGTGCATGCTGGGGGTCATTTTCCAGTGGAACCTGTGACCCCTCCCACAGCAGCAATATCTGGGGTTCAGCCCCCCAAGGGGGTTCCGCATCCCAAAAGCTTCACCCAGATAACCCCACCCTGTCATTGGGCACCCAAAGGTTGGAAACCCACCCTCAGGGCACAATGGGAGCAGGATAAAATCCCCCCTCCCCTCAATGTCCCCCCAAAGGAGCATGTCCAGAGGAGGGGGGGTTCCACTACAAATATTTGGAGTGTGTTGGTAGGTCTTGCAGGGGCACATAAGCTCCTTGTTCCCTGGTTGAGATATTTTTAGGGACGAGATTTGTGTCCTCAGGTCTGAAGGGTGCGGTGGTCCCGCAGCTGGTTTGTGGCCCCGGATCCACAGCACGGCCTCGGGTGGCAGCTGCTGCCAAGGCCAGGAAGAGGAGAAAGGATGTGGGGTCGGGTGAGTGTCCCTGGGAAGGTCTGGTGGGATGGGTGGGAGCTGAAAATCCCCTGGAGAGCACCTCCAAGGGACTGGGATCCAGCTCTAGGATTGGGTGAGATTTGAAATCCCCCAGTAATGCAGCTCCAAGGGACTAGGATCCGGCTGTGTGGGTGACAGTGGAGCCTTGGGAACAACCCCAACGGGCCCCCAAGGGGTCTTTCCATGCTCATTATGGAGTTACAGAGGAGAAGGGCCCCAAGGAGGGAGGTGACAGGGTCAGGCAGGGATCCCATGGGGTGACTCCTGCAGTGACAACCCCTCCCTCAGGGACACAGGCGACCAGCCCGTTCCTGGCTCCGGACCCAGCTCATCCCAGCCCCAGAAGGAGCAGCCTCAGGAAGCCACCAGTCACCTCCTCCTCACTGAAGAGACACAGTGAGTCTGGGGACACCCAGGGCCCCCTTAGCAGCGTCCACTCTGGGTTTATGTGGGTTTATATGGGTATTGGGGAGGGATTCCTCCCTGTGAGGGGCTGGGATGGAATTCCCAGAGAAGCTGTGGCTGCCCCATCCCTGGCAGTGTCCAAGGCCAGGTTGGACAGAGCTTGGAGCAACCTGGGAGAGAGGAAGGTGTCTCTGCCTGTGGGATGGGCAGGGAGGGCTTTAAGGTCCCTTTCAACCCAAACCACTCCATGATTCCATGATTTATTTGAGTTTGCATGGGATGTTTAGAGAGGAAGGGTCTGTCCTTTCGAGTCTCCTCAGAACCCTGTGGAGAAACCCTCTCTCCATGCTGGCAGTGCCCTGTGCCAGGGCAGGAGCCTCTGTTTGGTGCTTTTCTCCCTCAGCTTTAGTTTTGCCCTGGAAAGTGGAACAAATCCCTCATTTTCCCCTTTTTCCCTGAGACAAAGCACATCCATCCCACCCCACGGCCAGGAAGGGCTGGGTTTGGCTCCCACAGATGCTCCTGGGGAGTGTGTGGGTGGTCTGGGGGTGACATGCCAACATCCCTTCCCTCTTTCCTGCAGGCTGTACCCAGGTGCTGGATGAGTCCCAGGTGTCCCTGTCCTTCCAGGACTGGCTGGCCAGTGTCACGGAGCGCATCCACCAAACCATGCACTACCAGTTCGAGGGTGAGGCTGGGGGGTAGCTGGGGGATCTTTGGGGCTCCAGCCCACTCAGGGACTACCCCCAGGGCTTTGTCTGATTTGCAGGGAATTTATTGTGTCCTGAGAAGTTTTATTGGCTTTGATTCAGGTCAGATCAAGGTGAGGGGGGGTTCTGCCCCTCTACCCTGCTCAGGTGAGATCCCACCTGCCTCCAGCTCTGAGACCCCAACATGGGAGTGTGGAGCTGCTTGAGCAAATCCAGAGGAGGCCACAGAGATGCTCCAAGGGCATCTCCAGGTGGCACCTGGAGCACCGACAGCACAGGGAAGGGACATCAGGGGATTTCAGGGTGGGAGGGAGGAACAGGATCAGTGTCCAACTCCCAGGGAGGGGACAAGGGGCACAGGACACCCAATGAAATACCAGCTTCCAAATCCAAGATACTTCCCAGGAAACATGGTCAGACCCCAGCACTGCCAATCCAACCAGCCTCAGGCACACTCAGGGCCCAAGCAGGATGGGGGTCCTGAGTGTCCCAGCCCCTGATCCCTGTGCTCCCCGTTTCCCCTGCAGGCCGTCCTGAGCCCCTGGTGTTCCACATCCCCCAGGCCTTTTTTGATGCCCTCCAGCAGCGTATCTCCAGCGGGAGCAGCAAGAAGAGACTCCCCAACTCCACCACGGGTGAGGGATCCCAGGGGAGAAAAATTTCCCAGTGGGGAAAATGGGAGGGAAAAAGAAGATAAAAAAGAGGGAGGAAAGGAAAAAAGAGGGACAAAAAAAGGGGGGGGATGTGGGGGGGATAAAAAAGGGGAGGGAGACAAAAGGTGAAGGGAAGAAAGAGAAAAAAAGGGGAGAAGCCCCACAAGCCCCCCCTCAGCCCTGACGCCCCCCTTCCCCAGCCTTTGTGCGTAGGGACGCGCTGCCCCTGGGCACCTTCTCCAAGTACACCTGGCACATCACCAACGTCCTGCAGGTGAAGCAGATCTTCGACACGCCTGAGGTAAGGGGGAAGCAGCCCCCCCAGCCCCCCAGAGCCCCCCACAGCCCCTCCTGACTCCCCCCTCGCCGCAGCTGCCGCTGGAGATCACGAGGAGCTTCGTGCAGAACCGGGACGGCTCCTACGAGCCCTTCCGGACCCCCCGTGTGAAGGTGGAGCCCGTGGGAGATGGGTTTGGGACCCCCGAGAAGCAGCCCCCCCTGCGGCCCCTGGAGCTCCAGACCTTCCTCAAAGTTGGTGAGTGAGGGGGGAGCAGGGTGGGACCCCAAAATCCACAGGATGGGACCCTGAAATCTAAGGGGAGGGAGGGCAGAATTCTGGGGACTGTAAAGAGAGGGAGAAAAGGGGGAGCCCAGGGGAGGAGGGGGGGCTCATTGGAGGGGGAAAGGAGGAGCTAAAGGGGTGGGAGGGGGCCCAGAGGGTGAGGAGGCTTCAAGGGAGGGGGGAAAAGGGGACCCAGAGGGTGAGGGACAAACACACAGACACCCCTGGGGGCTCTGAAGAGAGGGGGAACAGGGGGTCCAGAGCGTGGGGGGCACAAAAACACCCCTGGGGGCTTCAAGAGAGGTTAAAGGAATGTCTGGAGGATGGGGGGCATCAGTGGAAGGGCAGGGGAGCCTGCACCCACACCGCCGTGCCCCCCCAGGACACACGTCCCCCACGCAGAAGGAGCCCACCCCGTTCACCATCGAGTGGATTCCCAACATCCTGCCCCGCTCCCGCCTGGGGGAGCTGCGCCTCAAGTTCCAGTACGGCCACCACGGGGGACCCCGGCCCGCGGGGCCCCCCCGAGATCCCCGTCCGACCGACCCCCCACTGGAGCTGCCCCCTCTCAGCGCCATCGCCTTCCCCTGAGCCCCTCAAAGTGCCCCCCGGCACTGGCACCTCCACAGACACGATGGAGCCCCCCCAGAATAAACCCCCCTCAGTACATGCTCTGAGTCTTCACTGCGGGGAAGGGGGGAGGATCAGGGGCGCGGGTGCTCCCGGTACGGCCCCGGTGCTCCCGGTACCGCCCGGTGCTCCCGGTACGGCCCGGTGCTCCCGGTACCGCCCCGGTGCTCCCGGTACGGCCCAGTGCTCCCGGTACGGCCCCAGTGCTCCCGGTACCGCCCGGTGCTCCCGGTACGGCCCGGTGCTCCCGGTACCGCCCGGTGTTCCCGGTACCGCCCGGTGCCCCCGGTACGGCCCGGTGCTCCCGGTGCTCCCGGTACGGCCCCGGTGCTCCCGGTACCGCCCGGTGCTCCCGGTACGGCCCGGTGCTCCCGGTACCGCCCCGGTGCTCCCGGTACGGCCCAGTGCTCCCGGTACGGCCCCGGTGCTCCCGGTACCGCCCGGTGTTCCCGGTACCGCCCGGTGCTCCCGGTACGGCCCCGGTGCTCCCGCTACGGCCCGGTGCTCCCGGTACGGCCCGGCGCTCCCGGTACCGCCCGGCGCTCCCGGTACCGCCCGGCGCTCCCGCTACCGCCCTCCTGCCGCCAGGGGGCGCCGCCGCCACGGGCCCGATCAAGATGGCGGCGGCTGCTCGCGCGCTGAGGGTGAGGACGGGCGGGGGGAACCGGGAATGGGGAACGGGGATGGGGGCACGTGGGGACGGGAGGGATACCGGAGGTGGGGTGACACTGGGAACGCTGGGAATGGAGAACACGGGGCATGGGGCACTGCGGAAGGCGGACACTGGGAACGGGGGACGCTGGATATAGGGAACAGCGAGTGTGGGGGGACACTGGGTGCAGGGGACACCACCTGTGTGGGGTTACTGGTTCCCCCCAGGCGGGCTCCAGCAGCTCTGACCCCACTCAGGGGGCAGCGGGGTCCGGGGGTACAGTGGCTGTTGGAGCAGGGCACTGGGACAGCCCCCCCAGCCCCGGCTGCCCCCCAGCCCTGTAGCCCTGTGCCCCCCTCAGGTGCTGCCCTGTGCCCTGCCTTCCCCCCGGCACCTCCACACCACTCCCGCCTGCCTCAAGGTGAGTCATGGGGACCCCCGGGGGTGTCCCCTCCCTGCGCACCCCCAGGCTGTGCCCGCCCTGACCCCTGTCCCCACAGACGCGGGCGGCGCGGGTCCGGGTGGGCAAAGGGGACAAACCCGTGACCTACGAGCAGGCACATCCTCCCCACTACATCGCCCATCGCAAGGGCTGGCTCTCCTTGCACACTGGTGGGTACCGGGCACGGGGGTACGGCAGGGAGATGTGGGGCGCACAGAGGGCAGCGGGTGGGGAGGGGGACGTGGGGATGATGAGGGCACCCGTGGGGAGGGATCACGGGGTGTTCTGGGGACAGCGATGTGTGGGGCACGAGGGCACTGTGGGGACAGGGCCATGGGGGACACATGGGTGTTTTGGGAGCAGGGATGTGTGGGGTGGGCACAGGGTGGCAGCAGTGCCAGCACAGAGCCAGCAGTGCCAGCCGTGCCCCTGTGCCCAGGTAACCTGCACGGCGAGGCGGGCGCGGCAGAGCGGGCAGTGGAGGACTCGTTCCTGCGCCGCTTCATGTACGGCACCTTCCCGGGGCTCCTGGCGGATGAGGTGGTGCTGAAGCGCCGCGGGAACTTGCTGGTGGTCTGTGCCCTGCTTGGCCGGGCACTGCCCCCCAGCAAGATCTACTTCCTGGTGGGCTACACCGAGACCCTCCTGAGCCACTTCTACAAGTGCCCCGTGCGCCTGGAGCTGCAGACGGTGCCCGCCCGCGTGGTCTACAAGTACCTGTAGTGCCCAGCAATAAACATCCAGCTCCGAATGGTTTGCAGTGCAAGGACCTTGGGGACCCCCAGTGCCACCCCTGGTGCAGGCAGGGACAGTGTCACCAGCACAGGGGACTTCCAGCCCTGGCCAGCCTGGCCTTGGGCACTGCCAGGATGGGGCAGCCATGGCTGCTCAGGGGGCTGGGGGGCTGTGCCCACCCTGGGGGGGCTGTGCCCAACCTGGGTGACCCAGGAGGTCCTTGGGGGCACCCAGTGCTAGGGGTACTCCACCATGGCCCCACCATGCCCCAAATGGCCCCATCCCTGTGGTGGCCATATGTCCCCCTTGTCCTTGTCCCCATGGGGCCCATTGTGCCCCACAGAGTCCAGTGATGTCCTCGTGCCCCATGTGTCACTGTCACAAGTGCCACAACACAGCCCCAGCCTTGTGCCCCTATGCCCTGCACTGGCATGTCCCCACCCTGTCCATTGGTCTGTCCCCACAGTGCCCTCATGCCCCTGAGAACCCTGTCCCTGTGTGTCCCATCTCAGTGGTGCCATGTGCCCCCCATGTCCCTGTCCCCATGATGTCCATGTCCCTATTGTTCCCTCTGCCCCATACATTCCTGGGCCCCCCACGTCCCTGTCTCCACACTGTCCCTGTGCCCCACACAGCCCTGTCCCCACAGTGTCCATGTCCCTGTCCCCACAGTGCCCTTGTGCCTCACACATCCTATGTGTCCCCATCCCCATGCGACACTTCAGAGCCAAGACGCCCCCAACCCACCCCAGGTAAAGTCCAGACTCCGCAGTGCAGACTCTGAGAAAACCAGTTTAAATAGAACAGCAGCAGCAGTGGGGGCAAGGGAGGAGCGAGAGGGGCCAGGGGGGCTCAGCCCTTCTCGGGCTTGTCTTTGTCCTTGTCCTTGAAGTAGGGGTTGCCAAGGCCCAGCCCTGCACCCTGTGTGTCCCCCGGCGTGTCCCCTGCTGGCACCTGTGGACAGGGCCCTGTGGGGACAACAAGGAGGGTGCCAGGCTGTCCCTGTGCCCTGGGGGTGGCACACAGGGCCAGGGCACTGTCCCAGGGGTGGGGCCAGGGGGTCCTTACCGATGTAGCTGAGGAGCACGGGCAGGAAGACCAGGCCATGTGCCAACCCCACCAGGGTGATGATGAGGTTGAGGCGGAAGAAGAAGATCTGGATGAGTTGGGCCTTGGCGAAGGCCAGGACCACCACCCCAGGCAGGTTGGTCATGGCCACCCCGGCCACCACCTGCGGGCACAGCAGGGGCACCATCAGAGACAGGGTGGCCAGGCCACCCTGAGCCCCCTGGGCACAGCAGGGGAGGGTTGGGGGCCCCATGGTGTCACCTTCGACCCCCCAGGAGGATTTGGGGTGCCGTGGTGTCCCCCCAGTCCCAGCAGGGTTGGGGGTCCCACAGTGTCACCTTTGCCCACCTTGCTGCCCATGGTGATGGTGGCCTCGGCGGCTCGTGCCACCCTGCTGGGCTGGGCACTGCGGGCGAAGGCGCACGTGATGTGGGACACAAACTCCACTGAGATGCCCACGGCCTGCGGGGACACCGCGTGTCACCCCCTCTGCTGCCACTCCCTGTGCCCCCAAACCCCTATGCCACCCGCCTGCCCCAAGTCCCTGTGCCACCCCACATGTCCCAGGTCCTGCTGCCACCCTCTGTGTCCCATGTTCCCACTCCACCCATGTCCTTGTGCCACCCCACATTTCCCATGTCCCCGTGCCACCCCTCCTGCCCTATTTCCCTGTGTCCCCAGTGCCCCCCATGCCCCCCGTGCCCGCACCGCTACAAGGTTGATGAGGGCGACGGCGTTGTAGGGCACGTCCCAGAGAGCCATGGCCCCCACGGTGTCCAGCAGGATCATGGTGATGGTGATCAGGGTGGCACAGCTGGAGCGCAGGTCCATGCCCAGCAGCAGGAAGGACACGGCAAAGGTGGGCACCAGGCACAGTGCCAGTGTCACCAGCCCCTCGGCCACCACCGTCAGGTACTGCTCGTAGTACACATACGTCACCCTGCGGGGGTGGCACCGTGATGTGGCACTGTGACAGGGCACCAGGCACCCAAAATGGGCACCAGGTACCCCAAAATGGGCACCGAATACCCCGACACAGGCATCAGCACCCTGACATGGGTACTGGAAACCCTGACAGGCACTGGGACCCCAACAGATGTTCCCACAGCAACCCCAGCCCTGAACTGGGCACGCCTGTTAACCCCAGTGAGGCACTGAGGTGCCCATGTTGACCCCGACCTGGGCATCCCTGAACTGGTCATCCCTTGATTGGGACCCCAGCAAGGGCATCCTCAGCACCCCTAACTGGAGCACCGCTTAACTGGGAACCCCTTAACTGGACACCCTCTTGTGATCCCCAGTACAGGTGCTGGGGCACCACACGGCGGGCACCATTTACCTGGGCACCCCTTAAGTTGGGACCCCCACTGACTCATGACTCGGGCACCCATTTGTGACTCCCAGGAAGGGCACTGGGGCACCGCCAGTACCTTGTGCTGTGCACCCTGACCTGGGCACCCATTGCTGACCCCACACCAGCCAGCGTTGCCCCCCCAGCACCGCGCCCCTCTCCCCCCTCCCCATCTGCTGCCTCCCATGGACCCCCGGCCCCAGGTGGGCACTCACGTGTAGGGGAACACCCTGAAGTGGGGGTCTGTGCCGGGCACCCTGCGCAGGGTGCGGGTCAGGGTGTCGCCCAGGGCGCGGGCTGCCCGCAGAGCCGCCGTGTACTCCTGCGAGGTGCGCAGTGGGCGCTGGTACGCCATGAACCGGGTGGCTGGCACAGAGCGGAGGGGTCAGGGACATCCCCAGGGGCCCAGTGGGTAATCCCCCACCCACACCACCCCCTGCACTCACCCAGGATGGTGCCGTTCTCGGTCATGCTCACGGAAGTGTCGTAAGCGCCCAGGCCCCTGCGGGGGAAACGGGGGGTCAGGGGGCACCCAGGGGGGCACCCAGGGGGTGGGTGGTGGGGGGTTACCCACTAATGGCCATGTCTGGGTAGGGGACCCCCAGTGCCACGTACCCCTTGGCACACTGCAGGGTGGGCCGGTCTTGCAGGAACCAGGGCAGGAAGCGCTGGAATTCCTCGGCCGTGGGGCGCCGGAGCACCTTCAGGCACCGCCCCCCGAAACAGCTCAGGTTATCTGTGGGCACAGTGGGTCAGCCATGGGGGGCACCCAGTGTGCTCCCAAGGGCCACCCAATGGCCACCACAGTGGACACTGCACGTAGACCCAAGAACCACCGGGCACCCACTGGCCACCGTGGCGTCCACCCTGTGCCCCCCAGCCCCCACTCACTGTTGGTGGAGGGGCAGAACTCCCCCTTGTGCTGCCCGAACTGGTGGATGCGGCAGCAGCGGCTCGTGGGGTTAAGCCAGTCCAGGAAATCGTCCACCCAGGAGGTGGCTGGGATGGCCAGGTAGGACCTGGCAGGGGACACACAAGGTTGGCAGGAGCTGGGCACCCCTCCTCCTGCCCCCCCAACCCCTCCTGTGTACCCACACATTGGGGAAGCTGGTGGCGTGTTGGATGGTCTGGGTGAGCGAATCGGGGTCACAGCCGGCGCTGGAGCAGATGCCGTTGGTGCCGTTGGCAGAAGAGAAGTTGTACCCGCCCGTGGTGACGAAGTAGGTGGGCACTCCCACAGCCAGGTACTGGTTCAGTGCCGAGAAGTACTGCAGCATGTACGAGTCCTGGGGGCACGCCCATCAGCGTGGAGGGCACGGGCACCCCCTGGCACCCACCAGAGCCTGGGGGGCCCAGAGGGTCCCACCGTCCCTATGTGTCACCCTATAGGGCTTTGTCACCCACTGACATCCTCAGGGTCCTGCGGGGCCCAGAGAGTCACCCCATCTCCATGTGTCACCATCTAGGGCCATGTCACCCCCCCACCGTGTCCCCAAGCCCCCCCCTAGGGGCCACCCTCCCAGATGTCCCCATTCAGACTCTGCTGTCCCCCTCTGTCCCCGTGCCCGCCCTCCCCCCGAGGTCCCGCCCCCACCTTGGGCAGCGCGAGCTCCTGGTCCAGCCCCACTGACACCTGGAACATCAGGAATAGCCCGGCACAGGCCAGGAACAGGAACAGCAGCACCTGGAGGGTACCTGGTCAGGGACCTCCAGCACCCTAGACACCCTCCAGCTTCCCCCGGGAACCCCCAGCCCCCAAATTCGCTCCCAAACCCCCTGGTCCCCTCCAGCCCCCATGTCCCATCCCACCCCCAAGCCCCCCATGTCCTCCCCACCTGTCAGGACACCCCAGAACCCCTGTGACTCCCATTCCCCCCGTTCTCCCTGGTGCCTCCCCAAACCCCCAGTCCCCCCACCCCCATGACCCCCATTCCCCTCGTGCCCCA